CCATCCATACACAACAATGTTTCTGTGGCTATTAAACTCTGTGACTGGTAGGAATTCAATTGGTGCAGTCTTTGCTGAGCACAAAAAATACAGCAGTGGGAAGGAGCCACCTACTGAATTTTTGCTTGTGAGATGGGTGTTTAAACTCAAAGAAAGAAAAAGTTAGGAAACTTGCTATGGAGCAATGCCTCAAGAAGAGGCTTCTGGTGAAAGTAAGTAGAAGGGATTCTGCCCTTGTTACAACTGTGGGTATGAGCCAGCCTGGCGTAGTCTTGAACTAGAACTCTGGAGACCAGGGTTCGATTCCCAGTTTGGCCATGAAAACCACAGAGTGACCTTGGGCAAGTCACACTCTCTCAGTCTCAGAGGACGGCAATGGCAAACCGCCTCTGGACACATCTTGCCAAACAAACTCCATAATGGCCTTAGGGTCGCCATAAGTCGGAAATGACTTGAAAGCACAAAACACACACACGTGAATGAGAGACGCATAAATGCTTAAAGGCATCAGATCCTGTCTGATCTTGAAAGCTAAGCAGGGTCAGCCCTCATGAGTACTTGGATGAAAGACCACCAACAAATACCAGGTGCTGTAGTAATCTTGCCAAGAAAATCCCATGGTAGGTTCCCCTTTGTTGTTGTTGTTGTTAACTGCCTTCGGGTCAGTCTTGACCCATGACCACCCTATGGATGAGAATCTCCAGGCCCCCCTGTCCTCTACTGCTCTGCCCAGCTCCTGCAAACTCATATTCATGGTCTCTTTAATAAAGTCCATCTATCTAGCATGTGGCCTTCTTCTCTTTCTACTTCCCTCCACCTTTCCTAACATTATTGTCTTTTCCGCCTTAGGGTTGCCATAAGTCGGAAACTACTTGAAAGTACACAACACACACACACATTGTAGAAAGGGATGCAGGAAGCTCTTTGAACAGTAGGGGGCAACAAGAGGCAAGGAACACAAGTACAAGTGTAGATGCTTATGGCACATACACTATTTGCACAGTTGACCTCAAATGACCAAACACCTTCCCGTTTATAGAAGGTTCCCATTTCTGGAGTCCTGGGGTTGTTGCGAACTGCCTTTGAGTCGGCCTTGACTCATGGTGACACTGTGGATGAGACAGCTCCAAGACTCCCTATCCTCACTGGTCTGCTTAGGTCCTGCAAATCCTTGATTGAGTCTATCCATCTGGCTTGCGGTCTTCCTCTCTTTCTTCTACCTCCTACCTCTACTATCATTATTCCATTCATTCATTCATTTTATTACAGCCATTAGGCCAGTATAAAAACAC